GTGTAGTATACTAACCTCGTTTTTTCTGGTGTAGAATACTATTCGCTTTTGCCTCCTCTCCTACAGCGAGTCTCACGGCTATTCTCCTCACCTACAGCGAGTCTGAGGGCTACTCCGAGGCTGTTTATGGCCCTCGGCCCGCAATTGGCCAGTGGACATGCACAAATGACAAATAGCATGGCGGTGTATCTTTCCATGTTCTAGCTGAAGATTCAGTCATACTGTCTCCCCTTTTTCTCTCTCCAATACTTCTCAGCTGAACACAGCTGTCCCACCAACTGCTCTAGCCCAGGGCATACTCACACTAGCAGTTGTTACTTATGTATGGACGGAATTGCGGGCAGATGCATACAGGTCCGGCTGTAAACGCCGTCAGATACATTAAGGATAGTGCTACTGTAAGTGTGCCCTCAGTTGGTACACCCAAAGGAGGTCCATCCAATAAAGGGCCTCGCTCCACTACTATCGAAATGTGCAAAACGAGAGTGAATCTTCTGCTATACACTGCCACAATTTTTTGTCTTTTGTGCGTGTCGAGAGTAGTGGAGCGACGCCCAACTCCACACAATGTGCCTCGTCCCACTACCGTGGATGTGCAAAAAGGCAAAAATCGTGGTCGACTTTGAAAAAATAAAATAACAAAAATCGTGGAGGTGTATCTGTCCATGTTCTGCACTATATGCACGATGGTTTTGCACAGAGAGAAGAGTAGCGGACCTAGACTCAGGCGGCAAACGCACATGCTGAATCGCGTTCGTTTCCCGCCTTCGACTGTCACACAGACTAGTAAACTATGGGCCTCGTTCCACTACCCTCGACTTGAAAAAATCTCAAGGGCGGCGCCGTTCCACTAGGCACTTGAGACCGGCGCTAACTTGCTAATCACAATTGTAAAGTGATTAGGGTTCCCGCCTGGTTAAACTCCCGCTCCGAAACTGAAGGGAGGCTGTAGGGTCCGCAGGCAAATTTCAAGTCACCTCCCACGGCCGACTGGTTTTTCCTCAACGTTCCTTGAAAACGGCGCCAACATGCGCCGCCAGGTACCGCCGTCCGTTTTTTTTTACCCAACCACGGTGCAGCACATGTTCCCGCCCCTTTTGCGAGCGGGAACTGTAGGGTGTAGTGGAACGAAGCTGACGTCTAGTATTTTTTAATTACGTTTAGGCTCAAGGGCGCGTGTAGGGCTGCCCTTGACTTTTTTTTCAAGTCGAGGGTAGTGGAACGAGGCCCTATACTATTCGCTGGCATGTGGGCCGAGGCCCCGGCACTGTCACGGCAGGTATACGAGTCCCGCCACTCGGAGTAGCGGGCTTCTGAACTCGCCCACTCCCGCCTTCTCCCGCCCTCTCTCAACGAGCCTACAGGGACAACACAGACGCCACACGGACACCACATAGACGCACAGGCTCATGCATGCACACAAACACAGTGACACGCACGGCGACACACACGCAGAGAGAGACAGACTATGACCACGTTGGCTGATGAGGATGACGATGAAGTTGACAATGAAGATGAAGATACAGAGCTCCATTAACGATAAGGAAAGGAGGGGAATTATTAGTATATTGCTGTCATCAGGAAGAAGTTAGATGGTAGTTTTGTTGCTGTCTCCTTGTTGACTCTGATGGCAAAACGGAGAAGAGGCATGGTAGCATCGGGATGAAATAGCGAGAGGAAGAGCGGCGCGGCGATGGGATTGACCAGCAAGGGAAAGGTAGTTGGAAGGGACAGCAGGACGTGAAAGATGTCGGATCAGAATGCAATGGGGAGGGCGTGGAGGATGTGGGGGAGGTAGGATCAGGGAAAAGGAAGATGGGTGTGGCAGTTGTTGGGGATCTGAGATCGGGAGGCGTACAGCCATTGTGGGGGAGGTGGGATCAGGGCAAAGGATTGATGGAAGGGAGTGGGTAAAGAAGAGGGCTAGGAGGCACACACGAATGGAATGGTGGGAGAAGGAGAATGAAGAGGGGCGTGTGAGAATTGGGGAAAGGAGGGGAGAGGAGGGCAGCAGAAGCCACAGTAGGACGGGCGAAGGAAAGAATTTGAAGCGGCGCAGCGCGATAGCACGGGTGGAGTTGGAGGAAGAGGAGGAGGGGGCTCATGGCACAACGTCACGGGAAGGAAGGGAGAGGCGGGAGGTAAGGATGGTACAGTCGCAAAGGGGATGAGCGGGAGGGATAATGGTACATGTCATGGATGGGGGAAAGATGGGGGGACGGAGAAGGGGAGAGGGCTAGGGTGGAGTGTGGAAGGCCCGAAATCGCGCCGCATGGCAGCGCCACATGGAGCAATTTTTTGTCTGTTTCTTTTTTCTTCCTTATATCAATTATATGTGCTTCTGTGTGTGTGTGTGTGTGTGTGTGTGTGTGTGTGTGTGTGTGTGTGTGTG